GATACTCGCGTGAATTGTAGCGCAGCGTCGTCTCCAGCTTGTGCCAGTAGTCCTCGTTCTTCTGGAAGTGCAGGCCCGCTAGGTCGACGCCCTGATAGTCCGGGAACTGTGTGTGGTACTGGGCTAGTCGGGTGCGGGCGGTGCGCCGGTCGCTGTCGTCCAGCCACTCGACCCGGAGCTGCTGATCGAAGGCCTTGACAAGGTCACTGAACACATCCTCCATGTCGTGCTGCACGTCGTCGCGCTGCACGTGCCTCTGGTACATGTCGCCCAGCACCTGGGGGAAGAGTCGCTGCATGACGCGCACGCATTGGCGGGGACGCATCATCGCCTGCTCCTCGGGCGGCTGGTTGAGCTCGAACAGAGCTCGGTACAGAATGTAGCTCGAAATGGTCACCTGGTTGTTGCTCTTCGCCGTGCGCGCCAGGTGGGCCAGGTAGCTGGGCGAGCGCAGGTAGACGTAGTCCGGATAACCGGTCTCCACAATGCTCTCCACGAAGAGCTTAAAGTCCAGCCAGGTGCCCATTTTGGTGGTCAGCTCGATCAGCTTCATGCGCGGGTACTGCGGACTGCCGCCAGGCTGCTGCTGACGCAGTCGCTCCTGCCCGACGCGCGACCGTCCGCTGTAGACGGGCGGGAACTCCGGACTGCTGGCCTCCACTGGAGGCAGCGTCTCCTGCTCGCGCATGCGCTTGCACAGCTCGAACTCGAAGCGAATGATGTCGCCGCCGAAGCGCGCCGCCTCGCCGCTCTCCATTTCGAACCAATCCCGCATGTTGTCCGCCACCTGCTGCTGGATCTGCTCGTAGACCTCGTCGCGCACGTTCGCCTGCCGCGTGGCGAGTGCGTTGCAGTGCTCCGCCGGAATGATGGTCAGCTGAGGCTCGCCCAGGTAGACACTTTTGCCGCTCATCTGCTGCAGATTGAGATCGATATCGAATCCGATCAGTATGTCCAGCCCATAGTTGCGCCGCAGCGATGCGAGCATTTGCAGCCAGTGGTAGTCGTGTTTCCAATGGGAGTTCGCCACATTCCGCAGTCCGCCGTGCTCCCGCAGGACCTTCATCAGGAATTGGCGGCGCTCCGCCGCATTGGCCTCCACGGCCACGCAGGAGTCGTAGAAGCTGCGCACCTTCCGCACATTCGCAGCGCTCACCGGACTCAGGTCGTTGGCCGACAGCGGAAGAGTCAGCAGCTGCTGCAGTTGCTCCACAATGCGGGTCTCCATCAAGTGCTGCGCCGTTATCAGCTCACCTTCGCGCAGCTGACGCGTGTGATAACGGCCCCAGTTGCCGCAGGCATACTCGTAGAAGTCGGCGCAGGGATCTGAGCTCAGGTTCATATACTTGAGCATGTCTCTGGACATGCTCTGGCGTATTCTCTGCTCCTGGCGACTGTCCACAATGCTGTTGCTGTTGCTGTGGCTATTGCTGTGGCCGTGCCCGTGAATGTGCATGGCAGCAGCAGCAGCGCCGCCACGATTCGTGTTGATGTTGTTGTACCTGTACGTGGGTCCAGCTGCAAAAGCTGCCCCGAACAGCTGAAGCAGGCAGAGCGTAAAAATCTGTGCAAATCGTGTAGTTCTCATTTTAGCGTTCTAGAATCAACTGAGCCAGCTCCAGCTCTGTTTGATGGATTGATAAGCATTGCTTAGTCGTATAAATTTTCCGCTCATGAACTTGACGAATTGGGGTCAAGTGTGCGCTCAATGTACTCCCGTTCTGGTTCCTGGGGTTATCGCCAAAGAGACGAGCACTTCGAAAGCCAAAGAGAAGCAAACAAACGTCGACCTCGCACGTCGCTGGCTCTCAATGAATGTAACTGTTATCGAAAGCAAGAATCAGGTCTATCGTTTGTTGGGGCGGCTTGTGCGTTCGTCAGTCGTTCTTGGATACTTAGTGCATTAAAAAGTTTGTTATTTGCTTTAGATAAATTATGCCAGATTAAATTAATCGATAAATATCGATATCAGCAAAGCTTGAAGAGCCTTAAAGCTAGAGATATCATATTAGAAATGTGTATGATTTGGTTTTGAATACAAAGATAATTCATAAGACATTTTGATGAACAATTAATTACAAATATCGATAAATATCGATAGCTTGAAGAATATTTCAATTGCAGAAATCCAATGTGTTAATATTAATTATGAATGGATAAAACCTTCATTTTCTACATATGCTCTGAATCAACCGAAATATTAAAGATTAGAGATTCAAGTCAATCGTGTAGAATCCAAGTTCAGCTAGACTATTTCTCATGTTGTGGGAAGGCCAAGCGCAAGCGCTGATAATGCATATAGAAGAAACCTAGGACAGATTGTAACAACAGCTCAATGCAGAGTTCAGGGTATTTACTAGTCGAGCACTTCCTGTTGCTTGCTAAATGGGTATTGATGGAAAATCATGGGAATTTGAGTGGGTAGAAAATACTTTATTGAAGGCGCATTTATAAAGGTATATCAGCTAAGCTAGCTCAGTAGATGACACACTTGTCGAATGGATTCATTGCGGATCCAGGTGGGCAGTGGAATTCACGTGCGAATTCGGCCGAGTTGCGCAACGGTCCATTCACTGCCAAGCGGGTCCAGCTGTGCGTCTGCCTGGCGCTGTACGTGAGCGTGGGCCATAGCTGGGGCCACGGCTGGCGCTGCTCCCTGTCCCTGGGCTGGCAGTGCTGCTGGGCAAAGGAGAGGAAGAAGAGCGCCGTGTTGGAGTAGTTGAGGCCAGGCAGAGTCTCCTTGGAGAGCCGGACGAAGTCGTTGTTGGGCGCCTGCAGACTCAGCCAGTTGAGGTAGGCATTGAAGGCGATATTTAAGGCGGCGCTGTCATTTATCAGCTGCTTCGTTGCGGTCTCGTTGCGCTGCAGGTACTCCTCGACCTGGCGAGCGAAGCATTCACTGCGGTTGTGATACCTCCAGGCGGTCAGTCTGTCCCAGTTGTCGTGCTCGAGCAAGCCCGCCGACCAGTGCAGCTCATCGAAGGCGGAGACCAGCGGACGGGCTAGGCCAACGCCCAGCGTGCCGTAGCGCTGGGCGTGGCCGTAGCGCTCGTCGTACTCCGGGGGCTGCAGCAGCGCCCAGCCCATTTCCAGACGCCGCTGCAGCGGCCGATAGACCACGCGTGTCTCGTACGCCTCAACTGGATCAGTGGGCAGGGGCAGGTTCTCTTCGGCCTCCCGCTTCTGCTGCTGCAGCTGCACTTGCTCCATGAGCTGTCGCAGATTGTGCCAGTAGTTGTGGCGCTCGAGCTGAAGCTTCAGTATCAGCGGCTGCTCATAGCTGGGCATTGACAGCTGCAGTAGACTCAGCTTGCGCTGGGCGATGCGTCGACTGCCCTCCTCCAGCCACTCGGCGCTGACGCTATGCTTGAGTGATTCCTTCAGGTGGTCGTAGAGCTGCAGCAGCTGCTGTTGCTTCGACTCCTCCAGGGCGTAGCGCGCCTCATAGAGCTCGCCCAGCGCTCTGGGCAGCAGTTGCCTAACTCTGTCCAAGCAGAGGGCCGGCCTGTGCTCCGGCGTGTCCCCGAGCGGAAATGTCAAAGCGGCGACTGCCCGGTACATTATGTAATTGGCTATTTGAGTGCCGTTGCGTGTGCCCAGCGTGCGCCGCAGCTGACGATAATAGCTCGGCGCTGCCATGTAGACGGGTCTGAAGACCGTTTGCTCATAGACGTTCGTCACGTAGGTCTCGAAATCCAGGCCGTACAGCTGCCCCAGTTCCGCCAGAGTCTTGCGCGTGAAGTTCGTCGAGTACAGATGCAGCTCAGCATCCCATGGCTCGAGGCCTTGCATCCCGTCGCATAGCTCGAGCTCGAAGCGAATTATCTCGGCTGCCAATCGAGCCGACTCCTCATTGCCCATGGCCAGCCAGGTGCGCAGCTGCTCCGTCACCAGGCGCTCGAGCTCCCCATAGGCCGCATCGAGTCTATTGAGACGGCGCTTGCTGCACAGCTCGCTGGGTATCAGAGTCGAGGGCTCGCTGAGGTAGATGCTGTTCTCCTGCACGCTGGCGTAATTGTAGCTAACACGCAGTCCAATCAAGATGTCCATGCCGTAGTGCCGTCTTAATTTTCCAGCTACCTGCGCCCAATTATAGTCCCGATTATACGCGCTCCACTTGGCGCCTGGCACCGCCGGAAAGCCGCCATTCTGCTGTATGAACTCGCTGAGGAAGACCTGCTGCTGGCTGCGCTGCGCCTCGGCAATCAGGCACGATTGATAAAACTCCTTGGCCTGGCGCACCAGCCCACTGTCCTTGCGGTGCACGGACTCCTCCAGCAGGCGCTGCAGCTCCGCACTGATGCGATGCTCGACCCTCAGCTGCGGCGTCGTCTCTGTCTCCCAATTGCCGCAGGCGTACTCGTAAAAGTCTGTGCAGGGATTGGCGCGCAGATTGATTTGGCGACGCATCTCTTGCGCCTTGCTCTGGCGCACCGTCTCCTCCGTCTGATAGACCCGCTGAAAGCCAACGCTATCCTCGCCAGGTGCTTGACCAGCTGCAGCAAGCAGCAGCATCAGCGCCAGCGCGAGCAGAACCGTTGTATAGCCAGACTCTAACATGCTGCTGCATCTTTGAGTTGCTCTCAACTACTACCGTCAACGCTCGCCGCAGAGCTCGGCCTCAAACAGAGTCTGATAAGAGCGCCGTAGTTCATGCCGAGGTTATCATGGAGAGAGGGAGAGGAAACACGACGAGATGTGCTGAGCGAGAGGCAACAATAGTCTGAGCAGACTAAGAAATAGATACCCTGCATTACTTGACTTGTGTTAGGCATTGCTATAAGAAGGAATCAGGTCTATAGCTTTTAGAGTTTACGAGATATCTTGTCTGAGAAAGTGAGAGAGAGAGAGAGAGAGAGAGAGAGAGAGAGAGAGAGAGAGACGATCAGGTTGGCAAACATCTTCAATATGCCCTCTCTTCCCTATAAAATCAAGAAGAGTCTAAAATGTGCATAGTTTTATTGGAATTTTAGTACATATATATATTAATATGTGGACGTATGTGTGCGTGTGTGTGTGTGTATAGAAAAATGATGTCTGGGCAAACATTTTAATAGAGTGCGCATTTGAAGCGAGCGTTGAGCTTATCGCTTTTGGAGCAGCTGAAGGCTTGTGCAAACTGCTCAGAGTTGGAAAGAGCCGTATTTACGCGGAACGGCTCTGGTAGCTCCTCGTAGAGCTCCACGGACTCGGGATAGTCGGAGCAGTAAAGCTGAGCATAGGCCAAGAAGAAGAGCTCGTTCTCTGTGTGGTCGAGCAGGGGCAGGCGTTCGCGTTGATAAGTCGCCGATGTTTCAGCCGAGTTCCTCAGCCACTTGGAGTAGGCGCGATAGGCGATGCTTAGGGCGCCGTTATCGGCCACGATTCGACTGAGCAGTCCCTTGTCCTGGACGGGCTTGTCTCTGAACTGGACAAAGACGGCGTATTGCTCCTGGAAGCACTGGGCGCGACGTAAGTAGGAAGTCTCCGAGGTGAGGTCCCACCAGTTGTTGCGATAGCCGTGTCGGTCGTAGCGCCGACCCACGTCGTCGAAGCCGTGGAGCATTTGGCGGGCCAGCAGCACACCGATGGTGCCGTACTTGAGGGCGTTCGGGTAGACGGGATCCCAGAAGAAGCGGGCCTGCAGGAAGGTGATTGGGATCTGCATCTTGTTGGTGGTCAGCTCGTAGTGCGGCACCTTGTACACCTTGTCCGTCAGCCGCGGCTCCTCGACGAGTTTCGCCAGATGGCGCTGGGTGCGCCATTGCAGAACCTTGACCAGGTTCGCATAGAACTGATCCTGGTGCAGATTCAAGCCGTGCATTTGTCGTATCAGCTGGGTGTCGTCGTGGTTGCGGAATTGCAGCTCCAGGGCCTCCAGCTTGGCAATGGCCTTCTGCCGGGTCTCGAGCGTGAGCCAGTGGAGATCGGTGGATGCCTGCAGATCCTCGCGGAAGACGCGCTTGATGTCCGCCCAGGTGGACTGCAGCTCGTTGATCATCTGCATGTTGTTGAAGTTGCGATGGAAGAGGCTCTCCAGGTGCTGCGGGAAGTACTGGCGCACCAGCTGCACACACCAGATGCCCGGCTGAGCGTTGAGCGGCACGCGTGCCTGATCGAGCGTGTCCAGGGCACGCCAGATCGTGTAGTTGGCCAGGTGGAGCTTTGGCGTGTTTCGTATCACATCCACGAGGTTGGACATGTAGTCCTCCGGCGTCTCGTACAGATCCACGTAGAGGGTGTCGTTGTAGATCATCTGCAAGTAGCGGCTCACGTCCACGTAGCTGCCGTAGGCCGCCTTCATCTCGGCCGCTGTGCGGAGACGCGTTGTCTGCTCCAGCGTGAGCGCGGGATTGTGGGGCAAGCCCTTGGCCAGCTGCTGCTCAATCTGCAGCACCTGGGCGGCGACCTCGTGCTGCCAGCGCTCCGATTGCTGTGGGAAGTAGCCCTCGAGCTTCTGGCGAATGGCCTCCTCGTAGCGCTCGCGTGCCTCGTGGAAGGCCGCATCAAGGTATTGACGGCGTTGGCCCAGGGGCAGCTGGGGCGCGCCGATCTTGAGCCGATGCATGTTCTCCTCCTTGTAGTCGAGCACCACGTCCAGGCCAATGAATATATCGACGCCCAGGCGCCGCTTGAGCATGGCCACCGCCTGCAGCCAATCGTACTCGTAGTAGTACCACGACGGCACTCGAATCTCTGGCCAGCCGCCTCGGAAGTCGGTCACCTGCAGCAGAGCCTCCAGCGCCGAGCGCGTGTCGTTCGCCTGGGCGTGGCAGGAGACGTAGAATCGCTTCAGCACGCGATCGGCGCTGCTGTCGGCACTCGTCTTGCTGCTCTTCAGCATGTCCGCGCTCTTGCGCACGAACAGCTCCTGCAGCTCCTCGAGGTAGTTCGTCTTCTTGTTGTGCAGCCGTGCGGGATGCAGGCGCGGCCAATTGCCGCAGGCGAAGTTGTAGAAGTTCTCGCACGGCCTCGGCTCGCCCGTGCTCAGGTAGGCCTTGATGTGCGCTGCCTTGGCCAGGCGCAGTATGTCCGTGGTGTAGTTGTTCGCCGCAGGATACGCCCCGGTAGTACTCCAGGCCAGCGTCAAGAGCGCCACGCCCACCAGCAGCTGCTTGCTAAGATCCATTCTCGTATTGCTGATGCGCTCCGTTTAGTTGCTGATAGAAAACTAAGCTCGAATTGAGCTTTGCGTCGATTTTTGACTTGGGGCGGCGGCGACAACTGCTTATCGTCGACCGCCTCGCTAGCCTCGCCAGCCTCTCTTACCTCGTCAGTCTCGTCAGTTTGCTCGCTTGATTAATTAATTAGCTTTATTAACCGTTGCAACAAATTTTTTGCTCTCCATTTTAATAACCCCGCTGACCCAATTCAATTCGCTGTTCCTCTCTCACTCTCACTTGATCGGGCCGGGCAGCATCACTGTTTTTGTTTGTTTATTATTTTTGTTCGTAGGCTCTCGCGCACTTGACCCACAAGGTAGTATGTGGTGTATACCCTGTAAACATTGAAAAAGTGCAAATGGAGTAAATTGATTTGGTCGAGGGAACGAAACATCTTTAAATTCTTAGTTTAGTTCTCTCGATTTATGTTCGACTATTCAATATGTAATCTCGTTTTCTTATTGATAGAAAACGCGATATTAGATTCCTGTCAGGGATATTTTATGTTCTCGATTTTGGACATCCATCTGAATACATAAAGTCCAGGCTGATTGCAAGGACAGCCTTGACTGAGACTTAGGGTATCTGGTAGTCGGGTATATTCGCTTAGAGCACTCTCACTTGCTTTGCTTTTCTTGTTTTCATAATTTTGCATTGCCTCTCGCTTTTAGTTCCAATGATTCTATGACTTTCTCAGTTGCTTTGCCCTGGCCAAGGCTGGGATCGTTTTACATACGAGCGAGCACCGAGAAATTGTGAATGAGTGAATAATGAAAATTTGTGTTTTCCTCATTTAAGCTATTTGTTTATCTACTATTTACGTCTAATTAATGTATCCCTTATTTACAATTTCGGTTGTCTCTTTGCAGGAAAAACAATAGATTTATTCTTCTCAAATTTCTGTAACACTTTCAACGACCGGCCTCTCTAATTGAAGCAGCCTCTGGTAGCTCATTCGGAATTGCCTTAAAAGTGTTTGACTAGAAATTGTTACGAGCATTGTGTGAAGGGCAACGCAGCAATAAGAGAAACTTCACAAACGGTAAGAAAATAATTGTACTATATGAATATCGTATACGATATGTGAATGTCGCTTAAGTTATTACTATATTGTTGACAAAGTATGCAAATCATTTCATGGTGTGCGCAATTCCGCCTACGATATATGAATATCGTATACGATATATGCAAATTGGTATATGCAAATTGGCAAATTAATCCGCTTATTATAGATGGGTACTGTTATCCTATATGTACATCTATATGTGATATGTAAATATGATTATATAAATGCGATACATGAATATCATTTACGATACATGCAGATCGTTTACGATATTCATTTAGAAAGTAAGATTTTCCACTACTGTAAAACATGCTCAGTCTGTTGAGCTGGTTTATTTGAATAAATAATTCTAATCTTCCGACATTAGTTGTTCGTATATTGTAACTCCCTGCTCCCATTTATAGACAATTGTGTAATACATTCAATTGCCGTTAGCCCACGATCACTTTTAGTGTTACGCCGTTGAGCTGGGGGTCCAGTACAGCTGGCTGGATGCTTATGTTGTGGGTGACATGATAGCCGCTATCGTCGGCTGTGTAGAAGGCTGTCTCCGTATAGACGCTGTTGGGTGAGTTTTCATCCTTGCCATTCAGCAGGACACTCGAGGTGTGTTTGCCTGTTATAATCAAATCGGGCTTGACTTCTGTTTTATTGTTGTTTGGAGTGCTTAGCACCGTTTCATTGCGTTCAGTGTTCTGCTCACGTATGCTAAAAATGCCAATAGAGAATTCCTTTATTTCATTTACTAAAAGCTTAACTAAACTTACTGAAATTCGTAAAATACTTTAGTCGCGGCATGATTATGCTTGATGTACCCGCAAAGCAACAGCAAGAAGCACAATAACTGCGAAATATTCATATTCGAACTTATTTCACAATTCGATTCACGATTCGATTCACAATTCACAATTGCATACTCACTGCGATTCCCTTCAACATTCTAGTTGAAGCTCTTACAATGCACTAAACGTGTCTGAAAATGTTTATCCATATTTGATATATGCCGAGCAATATATCTACTGATCGTGATTCCATATAGTAATGCAAACTAGTTGGACCGGTTGCAATTGAGACACTCGGAATCAGAAATTATTGAATGAGCTAGCCATTCCGCACTGTTTATTCCACGGTTTTATCACATAAACAAGTTGTCTAACTTAAGCTAATGTACTGTTGCTCGCTCAGAAGGGTAAAGGGGTATATTGATTGTGATGCAGTTTGTGTGAGGTCTAGCTTCAGATGTTTGAGAATGCCCATGGCAAATGGGGAATTACTATATCTAGAGCCAAACACAATTGAGCTTTGAATGATATATTCTGGAATAGAACTGCCTGATAAGCGTAACACCCTTAAATGTAGAATAATCTGATTCCAGATTCTAGTTCCTAGAGTGACTATATATTGAAAGAGTTTTGGGAAATAGAGAAGAAAGTTGTATTTATTATAGTTATACTGGCATAAATCTCTATCAATTTCATAAATGTAACTATATTTTTTAACATAAACTAGCATTTTGCAGTCGCTTATGCCCGTCTGCCTTAGTCCCACCTGTTCTGTGTTGGTGTTGAGAGCTCGATTTTCCGATTGCATTGAGCGAGAGTCAAGATTGACACTAATAACTATTTTGATTACCAACAGCAACAGCAACACCAATAGCGGCGCAATTTAAATACTGAGGGGAAAATCACGTAGACATTTGGAAAAGTTTTCACTTTAATACTATATAGACTTATATTAAGTACATTCTGATATAATTGATGTAAGCTCTTAGATAATTCCCATTCCAAATGCAGCTAATTGGCATATGTAATTGACTTTATCTGATTAAAGAGATTATTATTGTGAATGAACTTAGCCGACACGTGTTAGAATTTTTAGGAGCGTAACACTCAATCTGGGCTCAATTCCAAGCGGTGTCATATCAGTTGTTGTTGTTGATGCGGAACTGGACTTCAAGGTTTCCACTGCTGTCTTGCTTTGACTGGATTTGCCGTTATTCAACACTGTTGCAGCGCTGATCTTCGGGCTGGCGCTGGTCATAGAAGACTTGGCTTCTATGGGCTCCATAAGGGTATTTCTTGCAGTTGATGCATCCTCATCAATCCGTTGTTGAATCGTAATCGTTGGGAAAATTGTTGAGGACTTGGCTTTTACTGGGCTTGTTGTTGTTGTATCCTTATCGTTTTCTTGTTGAGCCCTGGCCATTACGCTGGGGCTTATTGTTGCAGAGTTTGGTATTAAGGGTTCCACTGTTCTCTCCTTATCAACTGCCATATCCTCAGAAATATCCATATGAACTCCAATTTTCGACTTATTCTTTGCGTCAGATGTGATCGAGCGATCTTCTGTTGCACTGTTGAAGGGGCGTGCCTCTATTGCCACCGATCCCAATCCGAACAACACAATCGTATAGAAAATCTGGAAAAGTCATAAATAAATCGAATATAAGTATGCCTTAGAGCCCTGCATGGGTATACGTGCTTGCGGTCGCCTTCCAAATATACTGATATTTGCAAGTGTTTGAGCATCGCAAGCATTGCTGCAAAACGAAACGAATGGTACTCAGAGTCGCCAAGAATTCTGTTTTACTTTACTTTTTACGCTTTGAGCGGAGTAAAACAAGAACCTAGACAAACGAAACGAAAAATCAGGCTAGAATTGGCTAATTAATTGGCCATGATTAATGATATTATGGTTTTAAATGTCAATTTTCACTACCAAAACACGAGTGTCTCGGCTAGCGTTTTAAATGCATTCGTGCAGGCCTCTAGTATGCGCTATAGTTGATTAAACAGTTTAATACTTACAGCTGGCTGCATTGTTGCTGGTGAACTGTTCGTTCGATTCACAGCTCAGTAAGTTTTATAGTCTTCGATGCTTCGTTAGCAATTCATAGAAATACCCATTGAAATCGAACAAGTTCGACGTTGGGCGTGACAGATCCAAAACAGTTCAATAGTCGAATGGAGTTTCGGGAAAAAATCCAGACCTAATTAGGTGAGTTGCCGATGTGTTTAGGGAGAGTTTAGTAGAGTGTAGGGAAAATAAATAAATTGAAAAACTTGGTACTCTATGCGGAAAATACCTAGATAAATGTGGAAATGTCTCTGATACTAAATTGGCTTTGTGTTAGTCTTTAAAGATATTTTATTATATTTTTTGGCCAGCCGCTCCAGCATTTGCTCTTGCCAAAAAAAAAAAAAAAAAACAAAATACATTTGTAGTACAACTTTCATCTAAAGTTTCTCAAAATTTCTATTTTTCAGCGAGTTATAATCCAGGGCTCCCCTGGAACAAGTGTAAATTTGAACATGAAGCATGATATGTTGTGAAGAATTTTTGGAGATGAGCTAAACTTGATATTATAGGAACTATTTGAGAAGAGGGTATATACGAATAAGTGCGATGAATTCCCGAATTTTGAATCTCAGACTGGCAGGCAACAACAATCAAGCAGTAAAACAATTATGACTTAATATACGTTTTCAGGGTATAATGGTTCTCTGAAAAAGTATGTAACGGGCAGAAGGAATCATCGCAGACCCCATAAAGTTTATATATTCTTGATCAGTGTGACGAGCTGAGTCGATATAGCCTTGTCCGTCTGTCCGTCCGTCCGTCCGCCTGTATGAGTGCCTCGAATTCGGCATGCATACTCGTGTGCACCATAAGCAGTACAAGCTTCTCATATTCTTTCGATAACTCATCCGATAACTTGCCCCTTTGCCCCCAATTTGCAATATTATATGGACTTGTATTAAGTACATTTTGATTTAATTGATGTAAGCTCTTAGATAGTTCCCGTTCGAAATGCAGCTAATGGACATAAGTAATCGGTTTTATCAAATTAAAAGATTATCATTGTGAATGAGCTTAGCCTGATAGAACTTTTAAGGTCATTTCACCAATTCTGGGCTCATCTCCAAGCGCAAACATGAATTTGAATCCCAAAACATGAATTTGAATCTCAGACTGGCAGGCAACAACAATCAAGCAGCAAAACAATTATGATTTAATGTACGCTTTCAACATGTTAGAGACTTGATTTTAATTAGTTGAAGATCAATAAACTTTGATGGCTAATATAATCTAAATGTATGCCTTTGCGTCACTTGATCAGTTGAATTTCATCAAGCCTGAATGGGAGTAGCTCTCAACCGACTGGGAATTTCGTTGGGCAAATGAGGAAAGTGTCGGAAATGGGTTTCGCCCCCGCTGAGAAGATGGAAATGCAGGCTTATGGCTGATTGTTCATTTAATTAAAGAATATTTGAGTCAAATTAAAAAACACTGTAATTTGGTTTTATGTAATTTATTTAAAACTTATTTTGTGGCATCATATTTAGTCATTAATAATATGAACTTAAAATTTTAAAAGCGAACTTTTAATTTATCACTATTTGGTTTGATCAGTATCAGTTAAAATAACATGGATAAACTTAAGAATATTTTTAGCAAATAAACATATTTGCTTTTCTTTTCTTTTTGGTATTTAAGCTAGTATCTTTAGTAGTTTTCCGGATAGATGGTTTACTGTCTCGGCTGGACACCGTTCATAATTGTAATCGATGCCTTTATAAGTCAAGAATATGTTTAACAAACATATTTTGCTGAGCTTAAGCCAGAATTTTTAGTAGTTTTCCGGATAGATGGTTTACTGTCTCGGCTGGATACCGATCGTAATTGCCGTTGATTTCTTTCTGGAGTACAGCATAAATTTGGCTGTTGGCGAGAGTTAAGGAAGTTTGCTCCAATGCGATGAAGTTCTGAAGATCTGTTGGAGAAAAGTCTCTACTAGTTGTGGCTTGTGTTGTTGGTCCTTGCGGAAATTTTAGCTGATGCTTGGCTGGGGGATTTCGTTGAAGCTTAGCGTTTAGCTTGTCACTTGTGTCTCTGGTACTTTGTTGACTTGCTATTAGTTGTGGATTGATTTGAAGAGATGATCGTACGTTGACTTTTATAGTCGCGTCTAGGTGTCGAGTGCATTGCCCACGGCACACGACACGTAGCCAGATGTAAGATCGGCGCACGTCAGTGATTCGTGTTGCAGTCGCTCGGAAATTTCCCAGAGCACTTCCAACGGTTCTCGACACAAAAGAAAAGTCACCGGCTCCAGCCGTTAACTGTCATTAAAAATAATACTATTTCAGTACATTTAGTCATCCAAGAGCGACTTTTAATAGATCCAATATCACATGCAAAGTGTATCGATTATCTATTGGCCATGACTCACGGTTTTATAATGCAACTAAATGTATAAAGAGAGCATTTAATATGAATATTTTCTTATGGGCTGAACCCTATCAAAATGGTCAAACAGAAAGAGAGGAGAGTCAAATCCTATAAACGAAATATATTCCCAGTCAGGACAAGTAGCTGAGCCTCTCTGTCTGATCCATTTGAATTCACTGTTCTCTTGACTTAAAACAAGAATATCGATAAATATCGATTTTTCGGCTTTGCTTCTGAGGCATAGTTTGAACACATAGAGACGACATCAAGTCTAAGAGGAAAACTCATTTGGACATTGATTAAAAATCAGTCCCGATGAGAGCGATATGTTAACAATAATTTTCTTATTACATTTTACGTATACTTTTTTTTTTTATTTTAACATACATACATATAAAATTCTGCCATAAATTTGAATATATTTTGACAACTAACAGAAAAATCTATGAAAATTCTAAAAACTTGCAAATACAAATTGAAAAAATTGTAAATGAAATGTTTGAAAATATATTTTTGAGAGGGGATTTTTGCGTAGAGAATATTGCATATCCAAAATTTTCTTTTATATTTCCCGTTTTAGTTATTAAAACTACTTTTTTTTGTATTAGTTACAAAATCTTAGTTTTAAATGTCGATGAGCAACAACAAAGCAAATGAAACGAAAGGAAGGAGCAAGTGAAAGCAAAGTAGACCTTAAATATTTTTATTATTTTTGTTGTTTGTGTTTATGCGAAAGAAACTCACGTGATTCCCCTCTTCAAAATTATTTATTTTCAGACGAAAAAAATAAAATATAAAGAAAAAGTAAATAGAAAAGTGTTTTGCGCGGCTGGCAGGAAAAAAAGACCTCTATAGACAAGTCGAGTCGAGCTGAATAGGCTCAATAGAGAGAGATACAGAGAAAGAGAGAGAGAGAGACAGAGAGAAAAAGAGAAAGATAACAATAACACATTTTCGATAACGATAGCGATAACCGATTAATGCCACCTATCGACTTATCGAATCGGCTAACCAAACGAGAAAACGCGTAAGCATACACAGTGTGGGGTTTTCTGTACCGCTGTGCCGCGGCAGCGCCATTAGCTACCATGGGCGCCAACGTATCGCAGCTGGAGCGTGAGATCGGCTCCGAACTGTTCCCGCCCAACGAGCACTATTTCGGGCTGGTTAACTTCGGGAACACATGCTATAGCAACTCGGTGCTGCAGGCGCTCTACTTCTGCAAGCCGTTCCGCGAGAAGGTGCTCGAGTACAAGGCCAAGAACAAGAGGCCCAAGGAAACGCTGCTCTCCTGCCTGGCGGACCTCTTCTATAGCATTGCCACGCAGAAGAAGAAGGTCGGCTCGATAGCGCCGAAGAAGTTCATCACGCGGCTGCGCAAGGAGAAGGAGGAGTTCGACAACTATATGCAGCAGGATGCCCATGAGTTTCTCAACTTTCTGATCAACCACATCAATGAAATAATCCTGGCCGAACGCAACAGTGGCAAGACACCGGCTGCCGGGTCGTCGGGTGTGCCGGTCCTGGCCGGCGGCGCAGCTCCGGGCAATGGGAATGCGGCGAACGCGAAGTCCAGCTCGAACTCCAATTCATCCAATTCCACATCGACTTCCACGTCAAACGGGAATTGCAGCAACTCGACGGGCTCGCTGAGCGTTCTGGACGGCAGTGGCAGCGTCACAGCGACCACAACTCCAATAGGTCAGACGAATGGAGCCAACACGGAGCCCACCTGGGTGCACGAGATCTTTCAGGGGATCCTCACGTCGGAGACGCGCTGCCTGAACTGCGAGACCGTGAGCAGCAAGGACGAGAACTTCTTCGATCTGCAGGTGGACGTGGACCAGAACACGTCGATCACGCATTGCTTGCGCTGCTTCAGCAACACGGAAACCCTTTGCTCGGACAACAAGTTCAAGTGCGACAACTGCTGTAGCTACCAGGAGGCGCAGAAGCGAATGCGCGTCAAGAAGCTGCCCATGATACTGGCCCTGCACCTGAAGCGCTTCAAGTACATGGAGCAATTCAATCGGCATATCAAGGTGTCGCATCGGGTGGTCTTTCCGCTTGAGTTGCGGCTGTTCAACACCTCGGACGACGCTGTCAATCCGGATAGGCTCTACGATCTGACCGCAGTCGTCATACACTGCGGCTCGGGCCCGAATCGTGGCCATTACATAAGCATTGTCAAGAGTCACGGGCTTTGGCTGCTCTTCGATGACGACATGGTTGACAAAATCGAGGCTTCGACCATTGAGGACTTCTACGGCCTCACCTCGGACATACACAAGTCCTCCGAAACGGGCTATATATTGTTCTATCAGTCGCGCGACTGCGCTGCTTAGATAAACTCGAAGTTTAAGTAAACGTTTTGTTTTTGGTTTAAGTAAAAAGTTTTCTAAGCTCCATTTATATTGTATTACTGTATACTCTCCTAGCCTATATCAAGGCGGGATTCTATGTTCATTCATTTTATATTAATAACAACAATAATAAACATTGATAATCTCTAGCGAGCATTTCGTCTTTGCTTTTGCGGTAGGTCAGTGTTGCCTAGGGGCGTGTCTGAATATGCATATATCTAGCTCTCCATATATTATATTCCATTCGTAGTGGATCATGAGATTTCCCATGCAACCTGCTAATTACTAAATGATCGCCACGCTTCGCATTTCCATGGAACTCGCCTCTTCTTCTTCTGTATTGCGCTTGGCTCGCGCTCAGTTGGCCAAGTGGCGACAGCTAATGCAATTCCAATCTTGGCTTAGTCACAGCTGTCATGGGCGCCCACGAGCCATGCAGCT